ATTGGCAAAAAAAAACAAGATATATAATAATATAATTTTTTTTTTTTTTTTAATTAAAACAAATTTTACTCTTATTCATTTGTTTTTTCTTCATTTTTTTTTTTTTAAATTGATAATCTTTCGTTTTTTATATTTGAATGGTTTTGTATGATATTTGCGTTTAATTAAAAGTAGAAAAGAAATATAAATTATTAGATTAATAATTACCATAAAAAGTCTAGAACGTATTCCAGCAATTTCTTCCTTTCTAGCTTCACGTTGAACTTCACGTCTTCCTTGTTGACTGGTACTTTCCCATCGATTTTTAATATCATCCATTTTGGAGAAACTTATCGGACGTTCACGAGTAGTACGTTTCGCTTTCACGATTTCTGTATCAATCTCTGAAAAAAAAAAAAAAAAAATTTATGAGTCTGATAGTTACGACGAGAAAAATAAATTTTTCTGATCATTAAAGTTTAGTCATCAAAAAATTCACTTCACTACAATATCAATAATACATTTATATTATTATATATATGATATTAGAGGATGAATCTAAAGTTTGTGAATTTAATGTATTATATAAACTTCATAACAAATTGAAAATGTTAATTCAAAATGCAAGAATTATTATGGTTCACCCTAATACAATGACAAATGCTCATAGACACAAACACACCCTAGTGTACTTTCTATCTCAATTCCAATTAAAGTGAAGTATTATTATCAAGAATAAAACCAACTATTAATACATTTGTCATATGAGTAGAAAAAAAACATATCCATACACCTACCCACCCACCCACACACACACTTACATACACACACATATATATATAGTTATTCTAATTTTACTGAATAAACATTCTATTTTTAATTTGTATTTTTCTGTTTTGATAAAAGACGATTTCTCTTAAGTTGAATGTTAATAAAATAAAAAAAAAAAAATAAAATAAAATGAATGAACCAAAAAAAAAAAATAATAATAATAAAAAATCAAACATGAAAACAAAACAAAAATAAAATAATAAAAAATCAAACATATATTAAAAGTAATAAAAAATCGTTTTTGTGGATGTTTACCTTCAATTTCTTCAGTAGCATCTTCCTCCTCACTCTCGCTGGATTCTTCATAGGGAATTCCATTAAGAGATTCGTCCGCGACCCCGATGTCCATGCCTTTTGCTTGAAACCTGAACAAAGAAACGTACAAACTGGTTACAAAGAGTTTGCTCGGTGGCATGTTTCGTTACTGGCGAGTCATTAACTCGAAGTGACCGCTGTTAAAGCAACGTTTCACCAACCCACCAACCCACCCACCCCTTCCCACCCCCTCTTTCGATTGACCTCAACAAAATTGCTGATCTTAGGACGATATGTAATACGATCAAACTTATTCAACTTCTTCTTCTTCTTCTTCTTCTTCTCAATTTATTTTATTTTTAATTCTTATTATTCAACGTTTTATTTTTATTTACTTTTGTTATCATCGATAATTATAACACACACACACATACACATACAAACACGCACGTACAAACACATATGAAATTTTTATCAATTCTTTTCCTTTTTTTTTTTTAAATTTATTTTTTATTTTCAATAATTATTTGTCAAAATTTGTTTATTAATTTGAACCTGACGTTTATATTTAATTAATAATAATTTGAAATATGAAATCAGAAATATTTCACATCGTAAATATTACATTGAAAAATTTTTTTTTTTACTGTAAATTCAGTTCATCCCCCTTTTTCGATAATTAACGTGTCACGTATATTATATAAATTAATATTTTTTAATTTAATTTTTTTTTTCTTTCGTACTTATTTGATAGCAACATCACGAACAATAATAGCAACAACAACAGCAACAACAGTAAGAATAATGACGAATAAAGTTGATATTTTTTTTAAGTTGCATGTAAAATGGCGAACGGAAGGTTGTAATAATGTTGGACGAGTAAGCCAATCGTTTTTAACGATCGCTGTGTTATTCGTAGAAATCATCGTCATTATAGAGAAAACGTAGGATCAATAAAATTACATACTTCATCGATATGTATGTCCTTTAAAAGCATTGCCGTATCTGTGTCATGGTTCAACAAGATTACATACACACACACACATATATATACATAAATATCTATACATAGTGTCTTACAATAAGTTAAATCAGATTACCTAAATATTTTCTTCGTTTTGAAATCATTTTCAAAAAAAAAGAAAAAATAAATAGTTGCACTATTATTGCTAATAAAGGAAAATGCATTTGTCATAAATGATAAAACCAATTGGTTTATAATTGTTTTAACATGAACACATAAAATTTTTTAGAAAAATACTAGCCTGCACCCTGCTACACGTTACTGTGGCTGTGAGTGTGAGCCAAAATATGAGGTTATGTTCAAATGTTTCGCGCACTTAACAAAATCTATGGCCAACAGATAGCACTGTAATTCATTGTACCTTTTCCTTTTTTTTTTTTAAATTAATTAATTATTTTATAAATAAATTAATATAACAAAAACCTAGCTGTATGTGAATGCAACGTTGTGTCACAATTTCAAAACAATCGGTTAAGTACTTTTGAAGATTAACGGTTTAATATAAACGATTAGGTTATGTTCAAATATTTCGCGCACTCAACGAAATCTATGGCCAACAGATGGCGCTGGGACAAATTTCTTTAATTATCTATTAGGGACAAACAAAAAATCTACATTTTTATATTTATAAATATATACCTAGTGTCTCACAATAAATCAAATCAGATTACTTGAATATTATCTTCGTCTTACAATCAAAATTCAATAGAAAAATATAGTTGCACTATTATTGTTAAGAAAATGGAAGAAATATAATAATAAAAATAATGTATATATAATATAATTGTTTAAACGTGCACATAATAGGATTATTACAAAAAAAAGTGTAATAATAATTATTTAAATGTTCAGGAAAACATTTGTGGTAGAAATGAATCGATTTAATGGTGTTTCATAAAAGAAAAGTTTTCTTTCACAAAAGCTAACTAAGCTAACTAACTATATACATATATATATATATATATATATATATATGTGTGTATGTATATGTATAACATACATAAAGGTGTGGCAAGAGCTATTATGGAAACATGTAGGAGTGAAAAATAAAACATAGACTAATAGGTTAATATTGTTCAGAATTAGAAAGAGAATGAAAGAATGAAAGAATGAATGAATGATAAGGATGATTAAACCTTCAAAAACATAATATCAATTTATTACTCACTTGGCAAGTTTGCTTAGAATACTCGGTGATCTTTTTACAGCTATCTGAGATGGTGATTTTTCTATCTCGTTTGTATTTTCTGTTCCAGCTTTTTCGAATACTTGAAAACGAGACTTTACATTCAAACTTGACAATTCTTCCAATCCAAGATCTGGTTTGTCAGATGCTAAAAAAGATTTATAAATAAAATATATTATTATATTATTAATTATTATTTTTTTTTTTGTTAAATTAATTTTGACATCGAGAGATGGGCAAGTACAATTAATAATTACAGTTATTATTGATAAGTGTTTATAATAATATTTGATTTACAAAAATTTATTTTAAATATATATATGTGTGTGTGTGTAATTACTTTGATAAATAAAAAAATAATAGTTTTATTATAAAATATAAAAATAAAAGAAATTATTAATAACATGACAATTGTTAAAATGAAATTGATTATAGAAATAACAAATAATACTTAAAAATATTAGATAAATTTTCTTAAAAAAAAAAAAAAAAAAAAAAAAAACAGTAAAATAAATATTATTTTAAATATTTGACAAGGAATTAATAAATTATTATTGACAAAATAAAACATACACATTATAAACAATATATACCCCTATATTAATAATTGCAAATAAAAAAGAAATGTTTTTTATTTTACGTAATTGCTCATCTCTTTTTGATAAATTGTTCTTTTGAAACATAAACAACACTTTGATTATAATTAAAAAAGCATTTGAACAAAACTTTGATTAGAGCCACTCGTGATTTTCCATCCACCGTTTAATAACGGTCAACTTGCAATTACACTCTTTTAATGGTTAGTGAAATGCAATTGTATATTTTATTATTCTAACCTAATGTTTTATTTCACTTCTTTTATTATAGATTTTATTTTATTCTAATTTAATTTAATTTTTATTTGGCAGAAATCCATGCGTGTAAATTTTCACTCTAATAAACTGTATATTTCACTGTAAAAATATTGTATATTTGACTAAAAATGAAAAGGGTTACATGTACCTTTTTTTTCTATTTAATTTAAAATAAATGCACAACTATATTGCATTTGCATTGTTTAAGTTTGTAATAATGCACCTATTTCAATTTTCATTGTAATAAACTGTATATTTCACTGTATAAATGTTGTATATTTGAAAAAACTGAAAAGAATTACAAATTAACATTTTTTTCTTTTATTAATTTAAAATAAATGCACAACTACATTGCATTTGCATTGTTTAGTTTGTAATAATGCACCTGTCTCAATTTTCATTGTAATAAACTGTATATTTCACTGTATAAATGTTGTATATTTGACTAAAAATGAAAAGGGTTACAAGTACCTTTTTTTCTATTTAATTTAAAATAAATGCACAACTACATTGCATTTGCATTGTTTAGTTTGTAATAATGCACCTGTCTAAAATTAAAAACAATATTAATTTTTCTTGAATTACTTTTTTACTTTTTGATCAAAACAAATAAATCTAATTACAGTAATAGTCTAAGTTTTGTAATGTATAATACAACATTTGCATAAAGTTGTGGTTGAGCTAAGAAATAAATTTAATTAAAAATAAAACTCTCAGTTAATTTGTATAATACAACATTTGCATAAAATTGTTGACCCATCAATTGTTTAACAAATATAAAATGTTCTATAAAGTATTACTGTATATTGTTAAGTATTTAAATATAATTCAAGGTTATTAAAACTCTTACCAATATATAATTAATATGAACAATGTTGACAAGTTCTTTATATTTGATATAGTATAACTTAATTCAAAATAATATACACACACTACTACACTAGTCAATAATTCTATTTAATAGAAAACTGTAATAATAATTTATTGAACAATATATATATATATATGATTCATAATAAAATTCTAATAGAGAGAGATAATTGAATCGTTACATCTCGAAATATAAGAACACACTTTAACATTAAAGTTACAATAAATACTAACACTTAGGAAGCAACTGTAACACTATTTATATTATTACAGTAGATATTATTTGTTTGTAAACTAGTGTAACGATTAATCACATAATTACAATGTGATTTTGATTTATATTTATTAACGAATACGACGTATAATATATTGTTGATAATAAATTTAGGAAACGTTTAACTGAGATAAGTTTTGAATTGAGAAACATAACCTTGAAATAATACCAATACATTATTTACAACCAATAAGATTCATCGTGAAACGGGTGTTTCATTTTTAATTAGGGTTACATCAGAATATATTAATATAATTAAAAATAAATTTAAATATAATTACTCAACACATTCAATTACAAATATACATAATTGCATATGTTAAAGTAACGTATAGATTTCTGCCATAATTTATTGTTAAATCGTGAAAATATAAATAAGTGTTTTATTGAAAACAAATGTTATTGTTGCATTTGATTATCCATACTTTTGATAAATAATTATTATATTGTATTTAACAATTTGGAGTCTAACAAAAATTAATTATACGTTTCATTAGGTTTGTGCAATTATTATTAACTCGTATTGAGAATATGTAATAAGAAAAAAAAAAAAAAAATAAGAAAAATAATTATAAAATTAAAAATTATTTATACGTCAACCATCTTGGAATAATTTTGTAAATTATTTGACATAATTAGTATATTAAGTATACAACACACTATAACACAGTGAGATTAGAAAAATTATTAACTATGTTAAACATAATATATAATTGTTTATAAATTTAATTAAATTAATATAAATTATTTATTAATAATAAAAATAATATGTATAATATATAATTATGTTATTATAAACAACAAAATTACATAAATTTTATAACAATTATATTATAAAAATTGTTGATATAAAAATTTGTTAACAAGGGGAGTGTTTGGGGGTATTTGGGGGTGTATTGGGGGGTGTTACGAGTTAGAAACAATTTTTGCACATTGTTGCTCACACTGTGTTCCACACACCGGACTTTACCTCTGACCACATCGGGCGGCAGCTCTTTAGGTTCGTTCTCACGTATGATCAGCTCCGGTTTTCGAGGTCGCACTACGAAGTTCACAAGACATCTCTTGGTCGCATTAACTTTATCTTTCTTTCTTACAGCTTTTATCTTTTACCCATTTACTGTCACTACCACATTACCAATCTAAACGTTCACTCTCACTCTCATTCCTTATATCAACCTTTTTATTCTTTTTTTTTTTTTTCTTTTAACCCCCAACCCTATCCTTTTTTTTTTTTTCAAAGTACTTTTACCAATTTAAGAATAATAATAATAATAATCAAGTTTAGGCATATCAAACATTATGACAATTATTAAATGTAAAAATGTAAATTAACTGTATAATTTTTTTATACAGTTAAATCAATTAACTGAACCTTGAACTTTTTTTTTTAGGTTAAAATCAACTGTATAATTTTTTATACAGTTAAATCAATTAACTAAAC